GTATTCCAAAATACCCCACATTCATTGGCTAATCCTAATTTAACCCATCTCTGGGTTGTTGAGCTGATGTTTTCACCCATTTCATCTCAACATTAACAATTGTGATAAGTATGTTGCCACTGACAACCAGAGCTGAATAAAAGCAAGTCCAATATGAACTGAACCCCGAAACCAGATCATTAGCCAAGGTTATGACTGGTTTAGAAATTTGTGATGTTCTCTTGCCTATCACTTGCCAGCAATACGTGGCACTCTTCCCCCCTTGTAGCTTGTAGTAGGCTGGGCCCGGAGCCATGTGAGACTGTTTTTAATGGCAAAATCTTCAGAGTTGTACTTAAAATATTTGCATCATAAAACCCCTTATGGAAGCCAAATTTCAATTTCAGGAGGAGCCTCACAGCAAGCAGCAAAGTTACCTCAGAGATCGAGGCCCCTGTCCCCAGCACCCACTCCAGCAGTTGATCCTCTTGGGCTGGTGACACAAAGGAGACAGCTCCAGTGTCTTGGGACAAAGTCCAAATGACTTTTATATGCCAACAACAGTGTGAGGTGACAGCAATTAGTTGAGCAATTCAGAAAAGCGTGTTTTCACACTTTTAATTGATCCTGTGAGCAAACAAGTGCTAAGGAGGAATGATGAGTAATTGTTCAACCTCATGGAAAAAGGACTTTGTCTTGTTTCTTGCACTTTTCTCCTGTGTCCAGGCTAACATGCATATAACTTGCTTTAAAAAATTAAAAATGAAGAAAAATGGATCCTTTAAATCTAAACTCAGAAAGGAAAAAAAAAATGTGAGAAAAGGTAATTATCTTCCTTAGCAAAGGATGATTGACCAATAGAACCAAATGGAATCCTTTAAAAATGAAATTTTCTATTACAGGGTTTAACCTGAAGGAACTAGATCTATGGATAAAGGACACCCATAGGTTTTTACTTCGTTGAATGGGATATGAAAGCCGAGAGAAAGGGAAGAGCAGGGAGATGAGCGCAGGCTCAGAAGCTGATGAGTTTTGGAGGAAAGAACACATCTGACAGGAAACAAGTTCCTTCTTTGTGGAGTGCAATGATAACCTTTCCCTTTTCGCCATGAGATTGAAACTAAAATTATCAGTTTCTTGTTAAAAAAAAAAAAAAAGGAAAGAAAAGATTATGCTCAGAATTACACTCTCCTCCTCCACACACTAAAAAAAAAAAAAAGTCATTTAATTCAGTGAGCTTTGAGATCTAATCATTACTCAGAGCTGAAGGTGGTTTTCCATTAAAGCACTGCATCACTCTCACTTTCTGACCTGTGAAGGCTCTTATTAGCTGCCTTATTACGATGATATCCTGTCTCTGAAGTAAAAAAATAAAATTTTCTCCTTACCTGACATGTCATCATTAGAGTAATCTTTGTTGGGGTGGTGGGGGAAGGCTGTTAAATAGACATTTAAATTTATGGCGCACTCTGCCATGCAGCAGGACATCAGTGATGGAGTGGACCTAGAGGACACTAGTGCACACTCTCCATGACTAGCAGAGCTAGAAACAAAGGACTACCTGCTTCATCTAAGTTGGTTCTGACTTGGGGCAAAACCTGGGTTTTAAGGACTCAGAGGAAATGAGGAACACATTAAACCAGACAAATACAGACACATAATTATAGAAATACTAGAGGCCCAATGCACGAAATTCATGCAAGAGTAGGCCTTCCTTCCCCCGGCTGCCAGCACCGGCTTCCCTCTAGCACCTAGGACCCGGGTTTCCCTCGCAGCCCCGGCTTCGTCTGGAAGGTCATCTGGAAGGATGTCCGGAAGGATGCACAGTCTAATTAGCATATTATACTTTTATTATTATGGACTAGAGGCCCAATGCACAAAATTCATGCAAGAGTAGGCCTTCCTTCCCCTGGCTGCCAGCACCAGCTTCCCTCCGGTCCTGCTTGTCAAAAGGACATCTGGCCTAATTAGCATATTACCCTTTTATTATTATAGATACATTTCTTATATGTCTATACCAACATGTACTCTCTAACAAAAGCGATTGAAGGAAAGGGAGCAATCCCCAAGATGACCAGGATATCTAGCTAAGTCTCAAGCAATGACATGGACAGTCGAACCTCAGCAATCTCTGGTCTTACATGGCGACAGTCACTAAGCACACTGCTGATAAAGTCATCAGCTCCATTTGCCTATATTCTGCCCCCTTTCATACAGGGTGTCCAGAGAAACAAATTTCTCCTTTCTGTTCATGGACTGCCGTGCCATTGTGGGTGCTTTGACCTCTGAGCAGCCTGTGTTCTAACCAACCACAGGGAGAGGGGGTGGGTGGTGGTGCTTAAATTACATATAACATAGATACATTATATAATATTATTTCTATAATTTATATATATATATCTTTTAAAGACTATATAGTCTTAATGGACTAAAGTGGTGATAATGCAATAGTGAGACCATCTTTTCTGAGGGACAGTTGAGTGACTCCTCATCCATCCTCATCCAAGTGTGGCTGCCTGCCCATTTCATGACTTGGGGCATCCCCTGCAGGTATGGGCAGAGCACAGTGCATGTGCAGACCATCCCAGCCTGGCCTTCCATAGCCACACTCTCCCCATGATTCGTGCAAGGCCTGGAGCCACAGGTCATCAGTCATTTGGACAAGACTGCCTCATGGAGCATAGTCTCATGTCTGTGATGACCCATAACAATGCCTACTACTCAGTATGGCTCACATTGCCAGTTTTAACCTACAAATTCCTTAGTGATTTTGGTCCCCACAATGTTCAATATTACCTCTCCTGCTCTATTTCTCACTGCCAGTTGAGATAAAGAACCTGCCAGTTTGGGCATTTGCAATGGATTGGCTTCCTGGTCAGTAAGAAAATTAACAAATCTGTCCATCTTGCTTTTCTACTTTCCATGCCTTGCATGCATATAGGAATCAAAGACATGGTATTACTTGGCTTGTTATACATCTCTTATTAGAATCCTGAGGTGATAGAATTTGGATCTGGTGACACAATGAGGGCTGCTGTGACAACCAACTAGCTGTTGCCAGGCACTCCACAAGAAGGCATTTCTGACAGGATTTAGCAAAACTTGCTCTTTTGGTAGGTACCACATCTACATTTCTGCATAAGACATACCTAGGATCTACTGCCCTTCATATCATCAAAGCACCATACAAATGTTGACAAGTGTCCATCTGAAAGATTTAGCAAAACCTTATTTCATAATTTGGGAAATATAAAACAGGTTAATATTGGAAGTGAACTAGAGTTTGGACATTTCTCTGGGCTCACTGTATACAAGGCTAGAACTTAATCAAAACATTTGGTTTGCTGAAATGATGCAAAGCAAGCAAAGGGCAATAATAGAAATATTTATGTAGTTTTCTGTCTTATTTTTTAAAATTTAGTTCTAATGTATTGGTTCTTTCAATTCAGAATTCCCCAGGCTTCTTTTGGCAGCCTGGGCCTTCCAAAGGATTCATTAAGAAAGTTTCCCCAAGAATGCCAAGGTTGTGGGTTCAATCCCCAGACAGAGCACATACAAGAATTAACTAAGGAATACGTGAATAAGTAGAACAACAAATTGATATCTGTCTGTCTCTCCATTCCTCTCCCTCTCTAAAAATCAATTAAAAAATGTTTTAAAAGAAGGTCCCTTTTTCCTTTGCCCTCTCTCCTCAGGTGTTCAAATAAGCAATCAATCACTCATTTCTGTGTTTGTACAGACAAATATGAGGAAATTTCCAACTTTCACTAAATATGAAAAAAAACCCATGTCTGCTAATATACAGGGTTCCCCCCCCCACAAATGTATACACACTTTAATAGCTGATATCTCAATTTTGAAAATGAAAAAAAATTTAATAAACACTGCCTGTATAATTATTCAAAGTGTGTGTATACATTTTTTTGGAACACCCTATATATTAAAAAATAACTCTAGCTAGGAGAGTTTCCACAAGAATACTACAGACAACACAAACAACAGGAAGAAATATGCCTTTTATTTAAAGTTTCATATGTACAGAGAAAGTTCTTTCTCAAGCTCAGGGTATGCTGCGAGAAAGAGCCCTGTCATTCAAGGTCACTGCGTTTACATTGGTAACAACACTGAAACGTCACTGCACATTATGAACAAATAGAACATTACACAGAAATGCAAAAGAGACATAGGTACATGTATGGACACTTCACACATTTTCTAAAAACAAGTAGACACAAAATACAATGTGCCAGTAAAAAAAAATAGGCATATCAGTACATGTCTCTTTTTTTCCCCTTTTTTGTTAATACATGGATGTGGAGCTTTCATCTCAAGCGTTTTCACATCGGGATTTGCAGGCACTTTAGCAACTCAGCCATGGTTTATAATACATGATGTTGAGACCAAAAGATGAAAACATGAGAGCAGATGAGGTCCAGTGACCCACATGTATGTGAAAATATTGGCATGAGAAGCACTTTTGTCACCACTGCTTGCAGACACCAGAATGTTCTCCTTGTGAAGTGTGATGTGTTTTCCCTTATTTGTCTTTTCTGTTTCATAGCAGAATTATTTAGTAACACGGATGGCATCACCAAGCAGACATATAGCATGTGGATGCGCTAGACACATGTCAATTCCTATCGACTTGGGAACGGTAGAAAGCAGATGAGTTTTTAGAATCTCCAAATGAATGATCTATCTTTGTCCCACTCTATGCCCTTCCTGCCAACCTGTCAATCAAAAACTAATTAAAATAATTACTTGGATGTAATGGACCAGAAGCTCATCCTGGGAGAATTGTTTCCTTAGCTACCACTTCCCACATCATGATATACACAGGACGATGGGCAGCCCAGTCCTTCCCCGCCAGGGGTCCCTCCCTCTCTCGCCTTCCCT